TTGCATTTTGACCAGCTGATCTGTCATGAGTAGTTTTGGTCTAGTTGTATTTTGACCAGCTGATCTGTCATGAGTAGTTTTGGTCTAGTTGTATTTTGACCAGCTGATCTGTCATGAGTAGTTTCGGTCTAGTTGTATTTTGATCAATTGATCTGTCATGAGTAGTTTTGGTCTGGTTGTATTTTGACCAGCTGATCTGTCATGAGCAGTTTCAGTATAGTTGTATTTTGACCAGCTGATCTGTCATAAGTAGTTTCAGTACAGTTGCACTTTGACCAACTAATCTGTCATGAGTAGTTTCAGTCTAAATAATTTTTATAGTGAAAAAATATAAAGATGATATATATAGTTTGATTTAAATTTTGTATTTTTATCCATAGCATGGGAAGGGAGTTTGTGTATTCTGTGTGTCTTGGAACCAGAAAGATGCTCGAAAGATTGCTTCAGCAGGAGCTGACAATAATTGGTATGTTTGTTTTTTTAATTGTATATACATACGTGATTTACAATAATGTTGAAAAGCAATCGACAGATTTAAGGAAGATTTTCACAATTATGTGCACAAGTGAAACTTACCTACTCTATGTGTTGTTTGGGTAGTTTGCAAAACTTCTCGGCTTAAAAAAGTTCTGGCTGACTCCAGACTAGTTGAGATGAATGTCATTATTGAAAAGAAGACATAATTGAAAGTAAATCATTTCACCATTCAACAATACAACTTAAAACTTTCAATCAGTGTTTAGATTTGTCAAAGATTGGATGAAAATTGTAAAGAAAATCTCAATGAATGAGTTTGAAATCTTTATATATAAGTGTGTATGACAGCACTTTTGTTTGAAAAAAGTTAAATAATACTGTCTGCACAGACAACACATGTAGAGTAACTATTACTGTCTGTACAGTCAATACCTGAAGAGTGACTGTTACTGTCTGTACAGTCAATACATGAAGAGTGACTGTTACTGTCTGTACAGTCAACACCTGAAGAGTGACTGTTACTGTCTGTACAGACAACACTGAAAGTGTGACTGTTACTGTCTGTACATTCAATACCTGAAGAGTGACTGTTACTGTCTGTACAGTCAACACCTGAAGAGTGACTGTTACTGTCTGTACAGACAACACTGAAGAGTGACTGTTACTGTCTGTACAGTCAATACCTGAAGAGTGACTGTTACTGTCTGTACAGTCAATACCTGAAGAGTGACTGTTACTGTCTGTACAGTCAACACCTGAAGAGTGACTATTACTGTCTGTACAGACAACACCTGAAGAGTAACTGTTACCGTCTGTACAGTCAATACCTGAAGAGTGACTACTACTCTCTGTACTGATAAATTTTAACATTTCAGTGAGAAGACTTCTCCCAGGGAAACGTGAGACAAAGTGTGACCTGCTTTTGTTCAAATTTAGGATTAGAGTCTCTTTCAGCCCTCCCCGAAATATGCTCTATATCCATTAAAATATTTTATTTACATAGTAATATGGTATTAAAGTGTCCAAAATATCTTTTGAACGTATTGTGCTTCTTATTTTTTGAACAGTTATGATACTTTTTCAACAGAGTTTAGGAATGATTATGGCAATTTTTTTACTCTTTCTGCATTGGATTTGAACCTTGGATCTTACACACTATGAAGGAGTACTTTGCTAACTGAGTTAAGGTGTTAACAACTATTCTACAAAAAAAAATAAGTCGATTTTTCCTATAATTCTGGAATGGATGAAACATATAATGTGTTTGTTCTCCTACAGTATGGTCCATCATGCCGATGGCTCTCTGATACAGAGTTTCAAACACCCAGGAACTGTCTATGGATGTGATTGGAACCCTTCGAATGAGTAAGTTATTGATATATGAAGGTTTCTTAATATTAAACAAAACTTCAGATGATAACAATACATTATGATGAATAACTACTACAGAACATGAAGTGGAACTTTGTTACAATACATAAACAATCTTCAGATGATAACAATACACTTTGTTACAATACATAAACAATTTTCCACTTCATGTTCTCCAGTAGTTATTCATCATAATGTATTGTTATCATCTGAAGATTGTTCATGTATTGTAACAAAGTTCCACTTCATGTCGCCAGTAGTTATTCATCATAATGTATTGTTATCATCTGAAGATTGTTTATGTATTGTAACAAAGTTCCACTTCATGTTCTGTAGTAGTTATTCATCATAATGTATTGTTATCATCTGAAGATTGTTTATGTATTGTAACAAAGTTCCACTTCATGTTCTCCAGTAGTTATTCATCATAATGTATTGTTATCATCTGAAGATTGTTTGTGTATTGTAATAAAGTTCCACTTCATGTTCTCCAGTAGTTATTCATCATAATGTATTGTTATCATCTGAAGATTGTTTGTGTATTGTAACAAAGTTCCACTTCATGTTCTCCAGTAGTTATTCATCATAATGTATTGTTATCATCTGAAGATTGTTTGTGTATTGTAACAAAGTT